AAGCACTTGTATGTCAGACTCATACATCTCCAACCACCCCGAAGCTGGCGGTCAGGTGAAGAAGGCACAGGGGCTGGCTGAATATGTGTGCTTGTAGAGCCAGAACAGGGCCTTGGCCCCTCCCTGGCCCGGCTGGCCCAGATGTCCTACCCACACACACACACACACACACACACACACACACCGCTCGGTACACACGGCCCTCATGATTTTGGTCTTTCCCTGATAGTAGAGTAGATGTCATGTCCAAATACCCCGCTAAGCCACTTGCAGCAGGAGTTGCCATTTGAATTGTTCCTACAGACTTTTCAGCCAAGGTGTAGTCCCTTCTGGGCCTCCTGCTCCTCCAGGGCCCAGCTGCCCTCTGGGAACCCATGGCCATCAGTGCTGGGGTGCCTGATACCCTGCTCTCAGGCTTCGCTCCTCAGAGAGCCGGGCTGATGTGGTGCTGGGTGGCAAGCTCCAGGTGTGACCTGTGAGCAGTGTTAGAGAGCACCACCCCCACTTCCAGCTGGGATGGCACTGCTGCAGCTCCGCTCCAGGCAGAGGACCTGTGGGTCTGGAGGTCTGCAGCACGGACTGTGCAGATGCTTGGAATGCCCAGGTGCATTTATATTGCACTAGAGGCCGTGTGCCCAGCTGTGTTTGGAAGCTAAGTCCCTCCCAAAGAGGCTCTTGAGGGAGGAAGGTGGACTTTTATGTCAAGAGGAGGCTGGAGGACAAAAAGCAGGGAGCCAGGGGCTATAGCCCTCTCCAGCCTGTACACAGGCCTCTGGGTAGCCCAGGGGCTGCTCCACAGACACCTCCAGCCCCACCTGCAAACTTAAGGATGCACCTGTGCCCTCAACAGCCACCTGGGTAGGTTTGTTTCCTGCCTTTTTTATCGTGAGGTGTAACATACAGAAAAGTACCCAGAATACATTTGCAGACTGTTGTATTATCACAGAGTGGACACCTGTGTAACTACTCCTAGCAGGAAGCAGAGCGCTGCCAGCCCTGCCGTCCGCCCCCATCCCCAGAGGCAGCCCCTCGTGCCTCGCTCGTGCTTTGCCGTCTGAATGTGCATCTCCAAAGGCAGAGACTCATTTCGTCTTTTTTTTTCTTTTAATAAATGATCTCATTTAATTTACACGACTCTATAAAATAGGTATCAGCAGGCATGTTTTATAGAGGAAGAAACAGGCCCCAGGGGGTGAGGAGACCTGCCGAAGGCAGTGACACCAGGAAGCAAGGCGGTGAGGACCCCGACCCCGGCTGGCCTGACTCCTGAGCCGAAGCCCTTCTGTGGTTCCTACGGCTTCTTCGGAAGATGGGCGGGTCCGAGAGCTTGCTTCAAAAGATAACCCGCTCCACCTTTTTCTTAACTTAGAAAAGTGGAGTCTTCCAGACAGCCTCCTGTTCGTCTGACTTTCACTAGGCTCTGTCTTTGTGAGATCCACCACAGTGCACGTGGCTATGGTGCTCTGTGCGGGCTTTCTCAGTGTAGTACTCTGTGTACCCAGATCACTTACGTTCTACTGTCTGCCCCCATTCTTGGGCAGAGATCCAGGTCGTCCACTTGGGCCTGCTATGGATAAAGCAGAAGAAGGCTCCCATCCAGGCCTCCTGGAACCCGGTGTTCAGGAATCTACAGGGTGGACCCCATGTCCAAAGGTGGGAGATATCTGGGCCACAGGGTGCAGGCATATTCGACTGCTCGGAGGCGCCAGGCTCTACCCACCCCCGTGCAGTGTCACCTGGGGCCAAGGAGCTTCTGGGTGTGGTGGTCCCTGTGTGAGGATCAGCAGGGGTGACAGGCCAGGAGAGAATGTATACAATTTTAGTAATTAGGGGACCAGGCGAAGGAGGTGTGGGAGCTCTTCCTACTATTCTCACAACTGTTCTCTGAGTTCGAAACAAATTAAAAAAAAAAAGTTACTTAAAAACAGGCCAGTCCTTTTCTCATGGCGTGACTGCCATCTTAACCGTGAGTCAGATGTCCTCTGTGTGGGAGCATGTCTCTCACGTTAGGCTCTGGTCTGTCCTTGTGTCGGGGACACTCTTACATCTATCTCCCTTGTAGCCCAGCAGAACACATTGTCAGCCCGTTCCTCAGGAGTGCCGTGTGATTCCTAGTCCTCCAAATACCCCGGCATTTTGACATCAGCTCGGCAGGTTCTTCACGACGGAGTTGAGATTTGGACTGGGACTGAGTTGCTCTGGGTCAGCCCGGAAGAGCAGCCAGCTGCACAGCACTGAGTTCTGGGGGCCTGGGCATCTCATGTGACAGGGCAGATCTGTCACCAACACCAGTGATTAGATGCTGGGCCTTGTGTGGGCTCTCTGTTTCCCTCCCACTGTCCTTTTCTGCCCTAGGACCCACTGAGTTGTCACGTCTCCTTCGTCCCCTGTGGCCTGTGCTTTCTTCTCTTACCCTTGTTTTTCCTGACCTTGACCCTTGGGAAGAGGGACTGGTCGGGAGTTTTGTAGAGTACCCCTCATGTTGGGTTTGCCTCATGTTTTCTCAGGATTAGTTGGGTTGATGGGCTTTTGGGAGGAAACCCACAGAGGCCAAGAGCTCTTGTCCTATCGTCTGGGAGTCTGTGAGGTCCACAGGAGTCATCTTTGGTGAGGGTCACCTCAGTCACTTGGGGACGGCATGTCTGCAGGTGCCCTACCTTCAGGGACATTTCCCTCTGCTTACTGCACTCCTCAGAAATGAGTCCCTAGGTCCAGGGACAAAGAATTAAGGCGGATCAAAGAACATGTGGTCGTGTTGAAGCCACCACAGTGAGTAATAAGCATCTGGGGGAGGTACTTTGAGGTGATGTATACGTCCTGTTTCTCCTTAAGTTTTGCCCACTGATTTTAGCATCCGTCAGTGGGTTCTGCCCCCACAGTTATTACGGGGGCGTTCTTCTGGGGACTTTGTGTTTCCTGCACTCCTACTTTGGGAAATTCTACTTTAATTGGGATTCCGTAAGGAAGGTTTATTTTCTCCATTTATTTGTGTTCTCTCATGAGTCTGGGCTCATAGAGATTTATTTTATTCTTTGGTTATAATCTCATACTACTGTTATTTATTTTAATTCTCAAATTGCTCCAGCTTTGGCACCTGGGTCCTTTAGATGTCCCCCCATTCTTTATTTATTTTTAAAGTATTTCCTTACTTTCTGGCTACATGATGCCCAGAACTCGTTTTTTCCCCCACTCCAGCCCTAGTCTCAGCTATTTCTCCAGAAACCTGCTTCCTATTTTTAGAGAAGGGGTAAGAAAGCAGACCAAGGTGCGAGGCATGCTCGTCACTACTGGGGTTATTTGCTTCTAGGTCCTCTCAGGGGGCAGCCAGGGGAGTACCTGTGTGTGCACGGACCACGCTGTGTATATACCTGTATGCACCTGTATGAACCACGCTGCATATATACCTGTATGCATCTCTGTGTCTGTCTGCCTGTATATGTATTGGCGTAAGCATGCATTAATCCTGGCGTCTCTGATCCAGATCCAAAACCACAGGTCCATCTCGCCTCCCCTGGGCTTTTTTGTGATTGCCTTCTGCGATGGGAGAAACCTGGGTCTTGTTGTCCGCCACTTACATACTTTTCTGTTCAACCCTACTGTACACATAAGGAGGTTTAGAATTGCCAACCCACACCCCTGTGAGAAACAGATGGACCAACTAGAGTCCTTTGTTTCTATACAGTTATTTTTTCTTTGACCTTGCAGTATCGAATTGACACACTTTTCCAAAATTCCTTAAGTCAGCTTTTGTCTCCCCTCCTGCTGGACTCAGTATGCCCTACATTTGTTATAGTCTGCAGTCCATCCTAGGATCCTTATGTCCTGATTGTTTTTTAATGTAGACACAGTCAAGTTTGTGGCATAAATCTGTGGCCTTGACAATGCCCACGGTCATGTTATGTGCCACCCCAGGGCTATACGGAGCAGGCCATACCTTGGAGTACCAGTGTAGCCTTCTGTCCTGCCATCATGCCTCTCCTGGCAGGTCACACACACCAATGGAATCATGCAGTATGTGGCCTTTCGAAAATATTTTTGAAAAAAATCTGGATTCCTTCACTTGGCAAAATGTATTGAGACCATGCAGGTTGTTGCATGCGCCCTACTTTGTTCCTCTGTTGCTGAGTGGAATTGCATGATGTAGATTTACCAGTTTGTTATCCAGTCTCCTGTTGAAGGCTTGTTTCCGGTTTGGGCAGTTATGGACAGACTTGCTGTAAACATTTATGTGCAGGTTTTCGTCCGAATGTGGGTTTTAAATTCACTTGGGAGAATACCTGAGGGTGGGATTGCCAGGTAGTCAGAGTTAGTTCACAAAGGGGTGGAAGGAGGGAGACACCCGGTTTGGCAGCAGGGGGAGAGAGTGGCAGGAAGATGACAGCAGGCCTCCCTCCCCAGGTGTGCCCCTGGGATGCCCACGAGTGTGTCAGGCATTGGGCATCTTGGACGCGGACTCATGTGTGAATGGGGCTGAGACGCCCTTCCTCAGCTGAGGTGCCCCAGCCCGATGATCTGGCACCGGCCATAGCCCATCTCTGGAAAGTGTCTCCTGCCTTCCTTTGGCCTCAGGTCGGCCACAGCAAGCTGACATTTATTCAGGTCACCTGGGAGGCTCATGGCCTGTCTCCTCTTGGTTTTGACAGTCAGGGCCGGGACCTGAGGCTGTGCCTGTGGGACCTGGCGGAGGGCAGAAACACCGTCGTGGACTCTGTGCACCTGGAGAGCATGGGCTTCTGCAGGGGCTCCATCCTGGCTGGGGGCCAGCAGCACTGGACACTGGCTGTGCCAGGGAGAGGCAGTGATGAGGTGAGCACCAGCCTGCACAGCCCCTTGTTCACAAGCCCCTGGGCGCTCAGTTTCCCCCACATGGGCAGGCGCATTCTTAGCACCTGGTTGCAGGAATGTTATGCCTGCTGAAGGACTCCATGCAGCTTTGGGACAGGTCTGGGTCTGTCTGCTGGGTCGAAGCTCCAGGGTCTTTGGGATGGGCCTTGGCCTGGTCAACTGTGAAGTGGCCCTGGTGGTTAGAGTCAGGAAAGAGGTTCGGGGGATAGCTGGTGTCTCTGGGAGGCCCTGGAACCTGGATCAGTATAGATGGACGAGTATCAAGGCTGAGGCTCTCAGGTGTACTGAGGGAGAGACTGCCCATACAGGTCCTCAGAGGACTGAGGAGCAGGCACGTATGCAGGGAAGTCCCTGGAAGGCAATCAGGAGGTAGAGGGAGCCAGGGCCGAAGGGGTGGGCAACCTTTTGGGGAACAGAACTGGGCGCTGGTGTGAGAAGTCACAGGCAGGGCTAGGGTGTGAGGGGTAAGGGCTGGCACTGGGGTGGTGATCGCAGTACAGAAGGGCACAGGTGAGTAGGGGAGCATCAGAGAACAGGGCTGGAGGGTGGGGTAGGCGTGACTGAGCCTCGGAAGTCACTGTCGGATGGCGCTCAGGCCAGAGCGGCCAGCAGTAGTTGTTAGTGGTGGCAACTGTCAGTCCGGACAGTAGAGTCCACACCCTGGGGACAGAAGAGGCAGAATTCCCCAAGGAAAGCAGTGTCCAGGGTGCGGGACAGATGGCAGGAAGCCAGGGCAGGGGTGATAGAGGAGGCAATGTGGCTAGAGGTGCCAGCTCTTGGGGAAACTGAAGGGAAATGGGAGAAGAAACCTACAAGTGGTGATTGGATGGCCTGGGGAGTGTGGGGGCTAGCTGCTGGGGGCTGGGGGTGGGGTGGAGGGCAGGGAGAGGCAGCCCCTTGTCTGCCTCCCATTCCCTGTGTCCCCTGATGGCCCTGAGAGCCTGCATAGCAGGCAGCTCTGAGCAGGGACCCGAGGCCTGTGCACACGGGAAAGTTTGGCCCCCACCCAAGAAGAACCATTTGTCTTAACGCATATCCAGTTCATAAATAATGAGATAGGAACAGGCATTTATTTGTTCATGATTGCATTTAAATCACCAATTAGGAGCTACATACACTTTTCTTGCCAATTTGCCAAAAACCTGTTAAAAGTTTTATTAATGTGAAAAGAAAGGAGTGTGCTTCCTCTGGGAGAGCCTGAGCCAGGCAGCCCAGCCTTCCTACTGTGCCGCACATGCAGAGATCGGCCTGGGGGCCGAGCCAGCTCTCCTGCCCAGGCCAGGGTGCCGCGTGCTGTCCTCCACCTCGGCTACCCCAGGACTTCCGGCTGGGCACGTTTCACCTCCTGCCCTCACCCTCGTCCCCTGGGCCTGGCCTCTGAGGCTACTCATCCCTCCTTCTTGAGGGTATTTTTAACTGACCTCCTGGCTCCCAGTTCTAGCAGCATCTGTGTTTTTCGGGAGCAGCCAGTTTGGGGACCTTGCACATCCTGGGAAAATGGTTATCGTCCATGTTCCCACCTGGAATCTGCTTGGATGGGGCCCTGGAAAAGCATCGCTGGCCTGTGCCCAGACAATGCCCGGGGAGGACATGCTCCCACTTTGCTCGGCCATCTGGGTGGCCGCGCTTGTCCAAACCTAACATTTTCCTTCTGGGAACAAAAGTTGCAGTTGAGTGCCAGATGGAAAGCACTCTGGTGTCTGCAGGAGGCTCTGAGCACTGGCTGTTGGGCCTTCCCTGGTCCTCAAGATATAGCTCCTTATACACCTGCCCCCACGCTCTCTCCCATAGCACCTAGCTCAGACCTCGGGGCTGTCCTGGTTTCCCCCTCACCTCCTCTCCTCCTCACTAGAGCAGACTTGCTGGGTGACTCACGCCTGCCGAATCCCCTTGTCCTTGTGCCGCTCCTCACTGTCACCAGAGGAGTCTTCTTGAGCCATGGACCTGTGTGCCAGGCTGTCCAGGGTGCAGATCTGTGCAGACTGGCAACATTCGCTTCCTCTGACATCCTTCTCCCTGTGTCTTCTCCTTCCCCCACCAGCCACTCAGCATCTTGAAACCAGCCTGTCCTTCTGTTATGGTGACAAAAGAAGCAAATCTCGTTTTAAGAAATCTGAATAATTCAAGAAATAGAACAGTGCAGAGAGTAGGAAATCAGGTGTCCAGCCTCCAGCAGTTTGGTCTGTGTCCTTCCAGACCCTCTACTCACGGCACAGTCATGGGCCAGCTCACATGGACTCTGTGGAGCGACAAAGGAGGCCCTCCCACTCAGCCGCAGCCTGCTGCTTTGCACTTGGTCCAGGGTCAGGGCTCCGGACTCGAAGCATAGGACTGAAAAGAGCATCTCTCTCCCTCTCCCTCTCCCCTGCAGCATCACTCCCGCAGAGAACAGAGAGCCCCCTCTCCTTTCTCTGCAGTTTTTACTTGGGGGCCACACCCGTTGCCACTGCATCTTGGTTATCTACATCCTCTTATATTTCTTTTTATTTTGCTGTAGCTTTTCCTTGAGCATCTGCTGATCCAGGGGCTCCTTCTTCTGGCGGCCTCTTATTTCAATGATGGTAACAACTGCTCACGTCACTTTAGTTCTTTTCTGTCTCCTCTGTGGGCAGTAAGAGCCCATGCGGTTGCCATAGATGCTGGCCTGACGGTGGTGGGGAACCTGTGTGCGTGTGTGTGCGTGTGTGTGAGTGGGTGTGTGTTCGCGTGCATGTGTATGTGCACATGTGCATGCCTGGCAGGGGCCCCAGGATTTGCCCTTCCTAGCAGTGAGCCTGTCCCCCGGTGTTGGGACACTGAGGACTTCTGGTGAGAGCCCTGCCTAAAGCACACCCACAGCCCCAGCTTGTGGAGGTGCTGCCCAAGGACAGAGGCAGGTGTGAGCCACATCACAGAACCCCGAAGCTGAGAGGACCAGGACACAACACTGGCTTTCCACTCTGCCTGCAGCTGCCCTCAGATGTGGCACCCAGTGCACTGCACGTGTGGCAGATCTGGAACTTAGACCTGGGACTTAACTCCAATTCTCAGGCCAGTTTTTCTATGTGCATTTGTGAGATCAGCTCAGACCCTCACACAACTTGAGTTCACCTCAGGCTCTCATTGCTAGGGGTTCTGCACTCTGGATGCCAGATAGCAGACCTGCTATCCATGACCCCTCAATGTCCCCGACCGATTTGGACCTCAAATTCCTCATCTGCAAATCAGAAAATGCCCCCATGTCGGTGAGGAGTGATGTGTGGCTCCACAGTTGGCTGCACATTGTTACTATGATATTGGTGGAGCCACTCACGCCAGTGCCTGTGGAGCTAGGGGCTAGCCAAGTCTCCCCACCATGGAACGGCAGACCTGCGTCACATGGAATCCCCTTCCCTCTTCCGAGCCCTGCAGGAGTGGCACCCTTGTCCCCGCTTGGCAGATGAGGGAGCTGAGGCACAAGACATGCAGACAGCTGGGAGCCCAGTTCCATTCTCAGGGGCTCCAGTGTCCAGGCCTGCTCCTCATGGCCTTGACAGTCCCCTGCAGACGGTGTAGGGCAGAACCTGGCCCAGCTCAGTGGATAGGCTGGCCCAAGTGTGAGCTGGCTGTGTGGGGCAACAAGGCACATCTGCCAGCTCAGTTCAGGTGACACAAAACAGCCACGACACCCAGAGTAGAGATATGGGCACTAGGAATAATAGCCAGGCTCCAAACAGAGCTTCCCATGGTGCCCATCATGGTCATTTCCTAGATTGGGTGGTGGGACCCCAGGTGGTCCCTGTGCAAGTCTTTGTACCATTCGAAATGCTTGGGATAGTGCAGAGTCGTTCACATGTAAAACCCACGGCAAGTAAGGGAAGCAGGCAGAGGTTGGGAGAATGGGCGAGCTGAGGCTCCTGCTAGGCAAGGTGATAAAATCGGGAGAGGAAGGAGGCAGCAGCGGAGTGGGAACACTGCTCAGATATGTGCCGGTCATTCAGGAATGACGCATACGTTGTTTTGCAAGGCCCATAGCACTAGAGCCCACGAGTCTGTGCGGCCTAATTAGGAGGCTGAGATCCCAGGTTCTTACCGGGAGCAGACAGAAACTTGCAGCAGTCTTGGCTAATCGCCTTAAAAGTCTCTTGTTTGTATAGCAGACTGACTTGGCGCCGGCCCAAATCAACTTGTTTTCTTACTGTCAGGTTCAGATTCTGGAGATGCCATCCAAGACGTCAGTGTGCACCCTGAAGCTGGAGGCAGATGCCAAGCCAGGCATGCCCATGTGCCTGGAGCTGTGGCAGGTAAGGCCTAGCGCACGCCAGCCACGCCCTGTCAGCCACGCCCGCCAGCCGTGAATCATGCCCCATTCGGGATTTGGTTTGTCGTCAAACCAACAGGGCAATTAGCCCCTTGGGAGAACATGTGCTTGCTGCCTTTCTCAGCAGCCTCTGTCTCCTGCAGCCCCTGCCACTCTCTTGCTGCTGCAAGGGATGCTCCTGTAAACCGCTCAGGGCAGGCCTCCGCAAGTTAGAGTGGGGGGCATCTCTCTGCCCACGCAGTGAGGAGGGACAGCTGGGTCCGCTGAGCTGGCCCCCTCCCGGGGAGGGACTCCTCCTCTCCTCTCTATACACCAGTCCCTGGCCCTGCACAGAGCTGGGAGGGAAGCGCTGACTAACCCTGCAAGCCTGCACAGCCCGGCTGTGCTTGGGATTAATTTTTGTTACTTCTTTGCCTCAGAGAGGCAGAAGTGGGCTTAACATGCTGACTTTTTCCATGCCACACTTAGAATTTCTGGTCTGCAACCATTTCCTTTTTTCTTGACTGTTCTTTCTGATTAGAGAGGATCAGGAGGCTTCTTCTGGAGTGGCAGCAGAAGCCAGGTAGTCGAGTGTGAGGGGTGTCACAGGCCTGAGTCCAGGCAGGATGGGTTTTGGCTCCTTGTCTGAGCCCGAGGCCTGGAGGGATCCTCCTGGGCCTGCCTGCCTTCACCAGAGGCTCTGGTTCTCCTCGAGGCACAGTTGCTCAGCACCCCAGAGGTCAGCGCTGGCTCAAAGTGTGCGTATCCATTCCTTGGACCACTCAAGTTTGGGGCAGCAAAGCAGATGGTCTGGTATATTCACTTAGAATCCTCAGCAGCATCTTGGCCATTGCAGAAACTGGTAAGCAGGTCACAACAGTGCCCACCTCAGGAGTGCTACTTACAGGCCATTTTCCCAGCTCTGTTAAGTTCACCAGCATCTTCTGAGGGCCACCACAGGGTGGGATCAGGAGCAGGCGATTCCTGCCTTGTACCTCCAGTTCACCAGCATCTTCTGAGGGCCACCCTGTGCCAGCCTGGGATCAGGAGCAGGCGATTCCTGCCTTGTACCTCAATGCTTGTTTGAACTCTTCCTAAGAGTTAGACCAGATGGGCTCAGGCAGTTTGGAGATGTTTGCATGACCAACAGGATCGTGGGGACAGGTATTCCCAAGCCTTCTGCCGCTTTAAGGACTAGAAAGATTCCCTGGCCTTTCTAGCAGTTGGTTTCCTCCTATGGTTTCTTAACTAAGAATGTTCCGATTGGAATTCAGGATCCCAGGTAAGCTGACGCTATGGTGTGTTGCTCCTGCCACAGTCCTTCAGAGCAGCCCGTGCGGGTGAGGAGGTGAGACTCTGAGGCTCACCTAGATGACGAAACTCTGGGCGCCAGCAAGTTTGGGGACACTTGGGGAACACCCTCGAGGCTATGCCACTGTGGCACGGTGCAGTGCTCACAGGTCCCAGGGGAGGACATCTGTGGCTACATCCACTCACACTTCGCTCCCTGGCAATGCTGTCATTGCATAATCATGTAAAAATTCCAGCAGAAAAATGTGTAGAAATGGGATGTACAAACTTGTTAAGGTAATTAATATAGTTGACAGAAGGACAAATCACGTTTTTGTTAGTTGATACAGATTCAACAGAAAGCATTCTGTTAAGAAAAGTCGGTGTTAATCTTAGATGTCCGTTTTTTTCTCTCCAAACCTTAAGGTCCAGGCTGTAGTTTATTAAGCCTGAGTGTGGTAGAGTGGCCTGACGTGGTATTTTTTTCTGAGACATTCAGATGCATTCTTGTTTTATTCCTCAAGGAAGCCAACTTGCTTTGTTGTGATGATTATCACATAAAAGGTCAGGATCAGAATGGAGCCTCATGTGTCTCTCATACAGGCCCTGAGAGCAGTGGACCCCGTCCAAGCTGGTGGCTCCCACGAGACCTCAAGGGCCAGCACCGCAGATGGGGGGCGGGTCTCAGAGTGAGTCCTTATAGTGACTTCAGGTCTTCACCTCGTGGAAGTCAGCCTAGCACTAAGGCCGTGGCCACCAAAGGCCCATGGCCACAAGAGCACGTCTTACCTTTAGTCTGTCACTGTAGGGCCACGGGGACCTGCATGCTAGGAAGGAAGCTGGAGAGGCTTGCAAGACAGGTAGAGAGCAGGGGCCAGAGCTCAGCATTTGGGCCCCCTTGGCAACTGTGGGGTGAGCCCCTGCAAGCCAGTCCAGCCCCTGCTCTGGCCTCCCCGCGGCACCTCAATGGATAGATCACTAGCATGGAGCCCCTGAACTAGCTGAGGTGCTCAGAACCCAGACACCACAGGCATCACCCTGGGCTATAGAGACTGACCAGAAACAATGTGTCAGCGATGGCAGGAGCCACAGAGGAGGGAAGAACGTACCCACACAGCATGTTCACAGGAGCTCCAGCAAGAGGCGAGGAGGGCCTCCGGTGCTGTCTGCCCACGTCCTGTGAGGCCCAGGCACTATGCTCAGCACCAGCCTCGCCCACCAGCAGTGGACCATCCTCAAGAGTTGCAGGTGACCCAGGAGGTAATCTTGCTGACCAGTCCCCCAGGCCCCCAGTCTCACTGGTGACCATCCAGAGGCTGAGGGGGGCCAGGCCCAGGTGGAGCTCACCAAGGCTCAGTTAAGCTCCTGGCTCTTGGAGAATTCACTGGGGAGGGGATGTGCTCAGTTTTTCTGACATTCTAGTGAAGCCAACCCCAGGCAACTCAGTTGGGAACACTGAGATGAATAAAGAACAAAAGGCATCAGCCGGTGGGTACTCTCTGTCCTGGAAGCAACCTAGGCATCCGTCCTAGAAGCATTTCCTGTTTGTAGTACCTGGGGACCAGGAACCACGTATGGGGCGCCACTCTCAGTGCCAGGGCGACATGGACTCCTGCCATGCTCTTCTGGAGTTGATGCAGAAGCTAGATAAACGAGGCGTCTGCCCAGGGTGCGGGCCCTCTGACCTGTGCCCTCATTCATCACAGTAGCTCAGCGCCGTGGCGGCTCACCAGGCCTGGGGGTTGGGAGGCTTCTGCGGCGAAGTTGACAAAGCACAGAAAGTTCATTTTTCATTGACATGGAGCTCACAGTTTTCTTTGGTTGGTGGTTGTAGACAGGTGACTGGCCCCACCAAGGGGTCGAGAGTCTCCGACCTGTTGAAAAGAGGGCCCAGCAGCACCCTGCGATCCTGCTAGGATCCTAGCTGGTGAGCAGCGGCATGGCATTGTGAGGCACACTAGACGGCCCCAGGGCTCTGTGCCTTCCATTCTCAGCCCTCGGGGTGCACCAACACTAGCCCGTGCAGGCCCTGTACTGATGGTGTCAGCCATCAAGGGGGCGTGCAGAGCCTCTGAACTGTTAACCGCCACGTGAAGAACACAGGAAACAGCTCCCCGGCTGGGCTGCCCCCGGGGCCAGCAGAAGAGACAGCCCATTTCTCAAGCCCTCTCTACCCCAGAACATATCAGGAGCCTTCAGGAGCTGACTGCTGTGCTTTTCCCCACAGGCAGATTCCAGCCCCCGCCCACTTCTTCTGGCCGGCTATGAGGACGGATCGGTGGCCCTGTGGGACATCTCTGAGCGGAAGGTGTGCAGCCACATTGCCTGCCACACAGAGCCTATCATAGGCCTTGACTTTGACTCCCAGAAGGCCAGGGGCGTCTCGGGCTCCGCGGAAAAGGCGCTGGCTGTCTGGAGCCTGGATGAGCAGCAGGCCCTGCAGGTCAGTGCGCCAGACCCGAGATGTCATTTATCCTGCTCTGCACTAACAGTCTGATAGGCTGAAACAATATTTAGGCATGAAGAGGAGTTGTTGCAGATCGCTGGCTAATTAATCACTCTGAGGCGGGGCGCAGGCTGGCCTGTCCTCGTGGCCAGTGCAGGAAGAAGGAGTGAGGGCGTTTGTGAACTGTTCACATGGTTTGGGTTTCTCTCAGACCTTGGGTTAACAGCAGTCACGTCTTGTCCATCTAGAGAAAAGGCATGTAGAGTCCAGGAGTAAGTACGCAAGCTCATTTGCAAAAATCAGAGGAATTTGGTCAGTAAGGAACTGATTAATCAAAAAACAAAAATTGCCCAATGTGGAGAAATCCACGGAGTCACGCCCCAGTGGCGATCTGCGAGCAGGCTTCTGGGAAGCTGTTCCTCACGGGCAATGGGGAAGTCGTGTGAGGCCTCAGAGTGGAATAGGGCATAGCTGAAAACCTTCCCATAATGTCCCAAGAAATCTCATAATGTCCCAGTAGACTTTCTCATCTAGCGTACCTTGTGGAGCACTTGGGGGCCAAGTCTGGACCTCTGCCTGGTGCTCAGCATGGGGTGGTGCAGCCTGCACACTCAGCCCTGTTTAGGATGGGAGGGATGGAGTTTGGGGGCAAGGAGCTTCCTGTCCAGGCCCAGGAGGCTAAGACCATGGGGGATAAGATGCTGGGTGTGTCCTGGGCTTCCTGGCCCCTAGACAGTGACCTGGGTGCACACTGCCTTCTGGCAGTGGGCAGAGAGCTCCTATTAGCCAGGAAACCTTGGAAGGCTGGGACTTGACCACGGTTCCTTGGAAAGGCACCTCTGTGAACCCAGGTCTGGTCGGGAGCAGGGCCCCAGGTGGTGCCAGCAAAAGTAGGAGCAGCCTAGCTCCTGGCCTCACCTAGGCTCTCATCACTGGACAAGGCCTGGGGGCTGCCTCCTCTGCAGGGCTGTGTGGTCTAGGCTTCACCATAGACAGGGGACCAAGGAAGAGGAGTTCTCTCGGGGGCCTTCTCCAGGTGGGAAAACCTTGCCCAGCAGCCTGGCAAGCCTGCATCACCTCACACTCGCCCAGCCGGGGAGGGGGAGGCGTGGGGGGGAGTGGCCCTGAGCAGACACCACTGGGCCCCTGAGGCACATGGGTGGGGGTGGGGGGGATGGGCCCCGGGTGAAATCAGGGCATGTTGCAGTGCTCAGCAGGCACCACCATGCCCTGGTTGCAACCTGGGCGTTCAATGTCGTCACCGCGTCATCCCAAGAAGGGTCAAGCAAGGACAACTGGGGGCAGGGCTGGGCAAGGAGTCCTGGGCAAGAGGGAGGCCGGGAAGGAGCAAGGCAAGAGGGTGCACCCAAGACAGCAGTGACATAGAGGCCCAAGGACAGACACTGAGGTCGGGCAGAGTGAGACTGGGAGATGCCCTTTCGTGTTGCAGCTGGAGGGGCCAGTGTCATCCCCAAAGTAACAACAATCCCTTTGGAGAACCAAGGTTAGAACCAGAGCAGGTGGCCAGTGATAGCAATGATGGGGCCATGCCAGCTGCCTAGGTGTGAGGCTCCCTGGTGTCTCTGTGGAAGGGATCTGAGGGTCTATCTTGAGTCCTGGGGAGTAGCTCAGTCAAAGCCCAGCAAGGCAGGGAGAGGAAAGGGTTACCTGTCGCATTTGGGAATAGGACATGAGTTCACACTTCTTTGGTATCACCTCTACCAATTGTCCAACCTTGACTGGAGTAGCCCAGTCAAAGCCCAGCAAGGCAGGGAAAGGAAAGGGTTACCTGTCGCATTTTGGGAATAGGACATAAGTTCGCACTTCTTTGGTATCACCTCTACCAATTGTCCAACCGTCTCTCCATCCTTCTGTCATCCCAGGGAGTTCACAGAGTCCCCAAAGGAAGCATCTCATGGACTTGGTGGGGGTTGGGAGGGAAAGCCATGACGGTGGCCGTTTTTAGAAGCTGGAGTGGAGCCACTCTGGTGCTGCGTCTTCATGTGCTGAATCCTCAGCCTTGCTGGGTGCTGAAACCATCCCCCGCCTCCCACCTCCATGGGCATCAGGGTTTTCCCTCGCACCCCCTCCCTCCTACTCTCCAAGCTTCATGGGGACCCACCCACTGTGGAGTCCAGTGCTCTACCCTACTGTGCCTCGAACCTTATCGACCCGAGGTGGCTTTCTTGAGAGACGCTGCCCGGCTGCAGCGCCCCCAGATGCCCGGGAATGGGCCCTTCTGCTGTCCTGGCCCAGATCTGCATGGTCCCTCCTGGCTTGTTCAGGAAACAGCTGCTGGAACTTAAGACTTAAATTTATGGGGCATGTTTCAGTCCAGAGATGAACTTTTACTGTACTGATGAATAGAAAAGTTAAAGCAGAGGGTATTATTAATGAATTGGAAAGTTAAAGCAGAAGGGGAGCAGGCACTGCAGAATGGACGTAGTTGGTGTGATGGCAGTGCTTGGGCCAGAGTCTTGCTCAGCAGTGCATGTCAGAACAGGAGAGCGCTCCTCCTGCTGAGCATGGCCACCTCACCCAAAGACACCTGGATGTCATGTTCAAAGTTGGCCCAGAGGCCCTGAAGACTCTCAGGCTGCGAAGCGCAGACCCCTCAAGAGGAAATGTCCAGGGGCCTCAGCCCTGGGCATCCACAGGCATTCTTGGCCCGGGGGCCCTTGGTGCACCATCCGGGCCCTGCAGTGAGCACTGAGACTCGGTTGTCTGCTGGCCCACAAGCCACGTGGGCACAGATGTGCCTCACCTCACGGCCTGCTGCTGAAGTCTCTAATGAGCCCAGATCAATCTCTCCCAGGCGGGCGCAGGGCGCGGAGATGCAGATGAGGTTTCCCGCAGCAGAGCGTGGGTAATGGGAACCAGATGGCGGCCGCGCCGCGTGCACATTCCTGGCACCTGAGGTCATGTGCTGTGAAAGCCACTAGTGGCCAGGGATCCTTCCCAGAGGGTCCTGGTCCAGGATGGGCTTGGCCAAGGGCTGAGATGGTAGCCAGGAGCCTTTAGCCACCGGTCAGGATGATGTGGTCTTGGGGGCATGCCATGATGCTGGGCCACTCACCTGCCTTCCCAAGGTGGCTTTGCCAAGAGCCACTGAGGACTTGGGCCTCAGCTGTCCTCAGACACAGGTGGTGCACAGACCTGCTCCTTCCTCCTACACTTGGGGCAGGGCCCACGGCCTTGAAGCAGGAGCTGATTTATGGCCAGCATTATTTTTAGGCCTTTAAATAATAATGAGCCTCCCCACCCCAGCCAGCCTCAGCAGGGAAGCAGACTAACTGCACACATACACACACCCGTGCCCAAGGCCGGCCAGGTGTCCTCGCTGCATGCGTGCGTGGCCACTGCCCACAGCCCCGCCAGGAGCTTCCCTCTAAAGTGTCAGCAGCAGGACACATAGGGCAGGTTGGAGGGGGCGTGCAGGGCCCTGACTGCGCATGTTCCTCCTGATTTTATAACAAGAGAGAAGAGAATTGCGGGCACAACTCAGCTCACCATGAATACCTTTGATGGGCCTTTTTCTTCCTCAGAAACACAAGCCTCAGCACAGGGACTGGGCTTTTCCAGTTTAGGTCCCCATGAAACCCCCATTGCTGCTTCTCATTGCCTGCCCAGGAGCCAGGAGTGCACTGTGAGCCTCTGCCTCGATGCCGCTGCCACTGTGTTTCCTGGAGGAGTCGTAAGCGGGGCAGGTGGGGCATCTTAGCCCCTCCTAGGTGATGATGCTGGCGTGGAGGCATGACAACACTGCCTTGGGGGCAAAGTTTACAGGAGAGAAAAGGATGTGGGACAGTGATGGTCTGCCTCTCGTGCTCGTCCCAGCTGCCAGTGCTGTCCATGGGAGTTGGGAGGGGCTGGGGCCGATGCACGCCTCCGCATGTGGGCACATGTGTAGGATTTGCCTTCTCATACATGCACAGCAGTATCCGCCCCCATGGCCCTGCTCCAGTGTATGCCCATCTTGGCAGCCTGTGTGTGGAGCTGGGAGTGCAGGATATGCCAAGTGGAAGTAGGCGCCGAGGCAAGCATCCTTGATCTGCTTCAGGTTGGATGGGGAGAGAGCTGCGTTTGCTGCAGGGTTTGGCAGATTCTCGTTATCAGGTTAGGTTCTCTTTTACTCCTTGTAGGGACAGAATCTGGATGATGAGAGGGTGTTGGGCTGTCAGACTCATGGCTTTCTTCCTCAAATCTGTTAATTTACTGAATTGCATTATTCAGTTTTTAACATTAAAACAACCGTATAGTACTAAAATAATCTGCTATATAGCATGTCCTCTGAGGGGCTCTGTCAGAGTTGTTCGGGGCTGTCAGTAGACTAAGCTGCACCCCCTCTCCTTTTGCCTCTCTCTGCTATGGTATCTATCAGGGTATCAGGAGCCCCAGAATCAGGAGGCAGGCATCCCCTTCTCTCCTGATCTCTGAACCGGTTGGCTGGGGATCTGTTTCCTGAGTGGCCGTGGGTCAGTCCTTGTCCATACCTCTGGGGCAGGAATGTTCTCTGTAGGGAAGATCTGATTTTTTTCTTGAACTAATTTAGGTTTCCTGATTTTTTTTGGTAGGTTTCATTTTCTAGGAATTTTGCTACAGTCAAAGTAGTTTCATGATTGACCTTTTTTTTTTTTTTTTTAGCTGTTTGTAAGGATTGTTTAAATTTCTGCTGTATTTGCAGGACTATCCTTTTTTTATCCCTAATCAGCCTTGTCTGTTGATTTATCGTTCTTGTTCTGGTTCGGCCTTTTGCTCTGCTCTCCTTGCCTTCCTCCTGTGCTCTCTGGGCTCGCTCTGTTGCTGACTTGAGTTGGGCGCTTGACGCATTCGTTCCCGGCCCTCCTTTCTCACAGCAGCTGAAGTCTGCGTCCCACATTGTGCGATGTCGCCGTCTTCATCACCACTCACTCCGAGCGGACCCGATTTTTATTTGTTCTCTGACTGCTGAGCTGATTAGAGTGTTTTTATGTTTCCAAATGTTTGATTCCCCCCCC